ATACACCAGCGGCAGGCAGTGCCCCAAACTCTGCTCCAGGATGATGCACGTCATTGCGCAGCGGCTGCAGCGGGCCGTCCTCGCGCGCATCGCGGTTGTGCACCCGAGCAGCAAGGTTGTGGGCGCCGACTAGCATCTGCCGCAGCTCCTGCTGCCCCTGCTGCAGCTCCTGCTGCCCCTGCTGCAGCTCCTGCTGCCCCTGCTGCAGCTCCTGCTGCCCCTGCTGCAGCCCCTGCACAGCTTGCAGAAGGAACTGCTGCCCCTGCTGCAGCCCCTGCTGCCCCTGCTGCAGCGCGTGCTGCCCCTGCTGCAGCGCCAGCAGCCCCTGCTGGATCCCCTGCATCACCTGCTGCAGCTCCTGCTGTACCGCCTGCTGCACAGCGGGCCCCGCTGCCTGCTGCACCGTCTCCTGGATGCCCTGCTGCTGCATCGCCTGCTGCACAGCGGGACCCACGGCAGGCTGCACAACCTGAAGGATGCCCTGCGTCAGCCGACCAGCCACTTCAGGTTCGCCTGCACAACCATGGGGCAGAGCAGAGGCAGCAGGCGCCGAGGCGTTGAACGTCCTCCATAGCCACCCACCACCACACTGTGTCCCTAATGGCGGGGCACTTGCCTATGGCCCACCCAGCCGTATTGACGAAGTCCATAAACAGCTGACCACTTGGGAGGCCCGCCCCGCCACCTGCACCAGGGACACGAACTGGCTGGCGCAGCGTCGGCCATGGCGGCATTGCAGCCAGCTTCACCGGCAGTGGGGCGGCCTGCTGCAAAATATCCTGCCCAGGCGTCTGGGTTGTTAGCTCCTACCTGCGCGTGCAGCCACGTCCACCACGCATCGATCAACCAACTGCTTCAGGACTTGGTCTACTTGGTCAGGTTCCGCAGCGAGCCCGTCAGGCACCTGGTCCACCGGAGCAGGCTGGACGAAGTTCATGGTGGCGACAAAGACCAGGCGCCGCCTTCAACCCAGTTCTGGGCGATGGGTTGAAACAATAGTGTATGACCCAGACAAGAAAACACAGGTCGCTAAGAAGAGCGCACGGGCAGCCTTTGCCTCAGGGAGGTACAAGCGGTGCACGATGTGGAACTCCCGCTGTATCAAGAATTCTATCGCACAAACCACCCGATAGAAGCCAAGTGGCTCTACGACATACCGACGGAGGCGCCCAGGTGAAGTGCATGTGCCGAGACATGGCGGCTCAAGCGAGGGACCCCCAGGCGGCCCTGCTGTCGGACCTGGCAGCCCTGAAGCTTCAAGAGGTAGCGCAGCCGCGATCTGCACCTGCGGTCTCCGGCGCCCCGCTCACAGGCTGCCTGGCCCACGCTGCTGGTGCGTGCAGGGAGATGCACAAGGGGCGGAGCAGCTGTTCAGAAAAGCCCTGGAGGCCCAGCAGCAGCGGCAAGCCGGCGGCATCGCCGACGCCGACGCCGACGACTCGGCGGAAGAGGACAGCTGGGAAGGTGTGCTCTTGACTTTCTTCCTTACCACTTTGCCGATTCATATGCGAGGCCAGTAGCACAGGGACAGATGGGCCAGAGGGAGGCACGCCAACGAGGCACGACCGCCCACCACATGCCCCGCAGCCTGGGACGAGGCCACCGCACTACCGCCGCAGCCCGCCGCCCCCGCAGCAGCGTCACGCGACGACGGGGACGGCTGGGAGGCGGCAGCGGCCGCCGCCGCCGCCTCGTCCCGCAGCCGGCCAGCTCCCTGCGGCGGCGGAGGCACCTTTGGCGTCGGCGGCCCCGCCAGCAGCAGCGGCAGCGCCTCCGCCGGTGCACTCCCATTCGGCGGGGGCCACGTGTTGGAGCTGTACGATTTGACGCCTGCAGTACGCACCCAGAC